TTAACTAAAGGTTATTGTTTGTTTGCTGCCAATGTGTATAACTGATATATCTTTCATTTGCCACATAGGGGAGTTGAAGGGAGAACGGGGCGTCAGTCTACAAATTATATTTTCTTCAACATATTTTTGTGAATGTTGAACAGAAAACCTTTCTGATGTTGATGGCTTCAGAATATTGTTATTGCCGTACAGTATGGGTCGGGTCGCATTATCAGAGCTGTCGATAGATTGATTAAATAAATACAGAGCGATTACTCACGACCTTGATAATTACCGAAACTTAAGATGTGAGGAAAGAAGCCATCTTCAAACAGTAGGCTATACTAGATGGATCATAAATGTCAGTATGTTTATTTTACAGCTATTTTTGATGTTAAATGACTTTGTTAGGGTTAGGTAGGGATGGCCATATGTTTTTGAATGCCCATTTTTGTACGGTACGAAAAGTAACGACCTGTTCTATTATCCTGCGATAAATAGTATTGATGGTTGTTCATAGCCGCCAAATCTAAGACATGATCAAACAATTCTTTAAATAGGATTAACTTTTAATATACATTTTTTAGATAAAAAAGGAAATGCTTAGAATTTCCAATTAAAAATAGAGCTTTAAATTGAAAATTTATATATATTTTCACAAAATTCAGTTTTATTATCACTGATAGATTTGTTTTAATAATAGCTTTATTTAAATCTATACGTTTTGGAAAATTTGCATCAACTCCAAAATCAAAGTATTGATTATGAATTTCTTACCAAGAAATAGAAGCTCATTAAATAAATTAACTGTGTTCTGATATACTGTATTTCAGAGTTGTTAATTCCCTTGAAATACACATCGCCCAACCTGTGAACGTCTCCAAGCTTAAAGCATAAATGAACTTTTTTGGAATTAATTATTGGAAAAGAAAGTATTTTCATACCTGTTCGAGTATCGATGCCATTCATTGGCAAATAGAAGTGTTTTGGATCTTCAATTAAAAATGAAGCTTTATTCGTGTTAAGTAAAAAAATCTAAAGTATCAATCGAACAATTTGGGTATCGCTTTATTTAATTATGCTTGTTTTGGTTGATTTGCACAAAATCTAAAATCACCGTTTGATGTTGAATATGATACCAAAGTAAAATTAAAAATTACTATATAATTAACTGTGTTCTGATATACTATATTTCACATCTGTTAACACCCTTGTTCCCTTTTCCCGTTTTTAAAGTAAAGTACACATTTCCCAATATTTTGCTCGATAGTTTTGAGAATCTTCCAAAACCACTAGACTAAGAAAATCAAACTCATCCATTATTTATTTATTAACAGTGTTCTGATAAACTATATTTCACAGTTAACTCCCTTCACCCATACCTGCATTATGCATTATAAATATTTTTGAAAGCAAAAGTTCATTAATTAATTAATTAATTACTTAATTATAGAAGAACGTATTTTCAAACGAGTTCTTGTATCAGTACCATTGTAATTATATTTGATATTTCTTTATTGATACTCTTATCACCGACTATATGAGTTTTTTTTTATCTGGGGGTTAAGCACTTTAGGCCTACATTGTGAACAATTTGTCGAAGATGCATTCTATTAGTACTGACTGAAAATGTTTTTGCTTAGCTGTGGACCCATACTATATCTACGGGTTTCACCCATTTCTCAAAATAGTTCCTCTTCCAGGTTTATACATTTTTGCAAGCGATGCTTCAAGGCTCCTGGAAGCCGACCAAGAAAAAGGTTAGTTCAGTCACCCTTGGCGACCGGCTAGTTCCTTTTGCATTTTTTTGAAACATGTCTGACTTGGCCAAATTAGCCGAATAAAGGGGACATGGCAACCATAAATATGTGAACAGGAAAATTGTGTTGGACCTCCGCGCCAATTAGCAACTAATGCAGAAAGATGTCCGATTATCAATGGACGATATATATGCTATCCTACCGGGACAGTTGCTCAGATACTATCTCAGTAGGTCAGCATAATATCTTCATTTAATAGTCACATCTCTTTTATCAAGGTAGTCCATCAACAGAATACCCTTTGAAACCATGAAAGACTGGAACCATAATATTTCCAGCAGAAGGAACTGACTTGGTCTCTTGGAGAGTGGATGATTGCTGATGCTTCCATTGTTTAGACTGAATTGTGGCTTCTGGTTTTAAGTTGTGAATCCAGGTATAATCCATGACTGCAAATTATGCCAAAGAAAAAGCGAGACCAGGTTCAAAGCGACATAAAGTATCATGGGACATCAAGAATCCCACACGTTTCTCGTTAACTATCAGAGATTTGGCCCCCATCTTGCAGAAAATTTTGTCATGATAAGGTGCTCAATCATCTCATGAGTGATGCCTATAAACATAATATGACGTGAGTTATCGTCAAATTTCTTTCTATCATGTTTGAATTCTGTTGCCTACTTCTTTACAATAGAAAAAAGAACCAGCATCCGCAAAAGTGGAGTATCTGTGTTGAATTAGTGACGTCATCAAACACTTATTTTGAGAGAAATTGCAGGGACGAAAAACGTTTAATTGTAATGGTGCAAATTGTTGCTAATAGTGTCCCAAATACATATAAAAACAACCCCACAATCCCTTAAGGTCACACTACATGTTTATGACAAGATAAAATTTATTGATAATTGATATTATTATGGTTAGGAGTGGCCAATATTGTTTGTCAACAACTCCATTTGTGAGTAAATCATATTCTTTAATTGAAAAACAAAAAATTAAGAGTTTATTAATTTTAAATTTTAACCTTGCTACACATATTTCAAATCTAAGGAGGCACATATTACTTTGTTTTGACTATATCCTCAAAGAGCCGATGTCCATTTGTTATACAACAAGCCATCTAATTCAATGTTGTTACAAGATAGTCGTACACGATATAAATCGCAGAAAAGATTTTAAACCATCAGACGAATTGAGAATACTTCACCATGGCTGCAGTATTACCTACTTTTGGAAATGAAAATGGTAAATCTAACACCTTCTTTTTAACTGATTATAATGCAATTTTCACATTGAAATAAGGAGATGAATTCTCTATTTCTTGGATAATGATTACCTTTTCCCTTATAGTTAGGGACTCCCGGGTGTCAGTAGTTTCCTTATTACTCACTTATTCCTTTTTTAGATGAGTCGCGAGTTATCTACCAATGCCGAAGTGACGATAACATCCTTTACTACCACGCTATGGGATCCAATTATGATAAGGTAGGTAAAAATTGAATTTTTGGGATTGGGTTCACAGAGGTCTATTTTCTGTAATTAGCATATGATATAAGTATGAATATAACCATACTATAACAATAAACCATAATAAATAAACAAAACATTCCAAATATGAAAGATCTTACCATTTAAAAAAAAGGTTCTACCAGCTTCTTGATGAAAATCGTAAAATAACGTGATTGATTTCAGGAGGATAATGAAGTACTGAGAAGAATCTCAAGATGTAGCGATTTGTCTTTAACACAATCCCAAATAACAGACTACGCCATGGGGCATTCCTCACTTAAAAGATCCCGTGCCGTATACCACCGTGAAGCTAATGCAACATCACTGATTACCACATCCATAAAGTTCGCCACATCTTCATCTGGCTCGGCTACATCTTACCCATCTGTATTCTCTTCACCACCTTCAGAAGCAACATCATCAGCGTCTTCCCCAACGGTCAGCTCATCTACAAGCGGTTCACTATATTTGTCACTGCTGGATTTAGAATCTACTAACTGTAGCTCTATAGAATATACACCAGCTAAACCAAAGTTGTCGAGTACAGATCATTGCTTTTTGGATGAAACGCCCGTTTTTTCACCAGGTGAGCATATTTTGTCGTTGCAAGTTTTGAATACCCTGCTCTTATATTAGATTATATGCAGCATTTGCCATTTTAAGAGCGTTAACATACTATTTGTTTGTTTATCAGCTGTCTCAGTAACTTTTTATTTGCATATATTTCAGCAGCCCTTTCTTTACGAGTGGAAGATACGAATATAGTTTCTAACAGTACGCCAATCCACAAGAGTGTTAACGATATCAAATTTGTGTTTCCAGTCGGGTCTCCAATACCGACACCAAGGAGTCTTGTACCAAAGAAGTTTGAATTTCCTTCTGTGCCGAACTCGATAACAGAACTTGTTGTCAGTGGGGCATGTGAATCTGTCGAACTATAGAGTCTTAAACTGGTAATGTAATCTCCATTGGTACCTCTTATCTTCCCCGTGTTTCCCAGGATTTACTTTGAAATGGTACTTTTAAGGGTCTTGGTTTGAATAGAATTTAGTATATTTGTTTAACGGGTAATCACATTACAATAAGCCTCTCCCTAAAAGTTTATTATTAATAACTGCTCCCTTGTATTTTTCCCTCCTCCATTTTCTTGTAAGCCCCGTTAACAGAAGTACAGCAACGAACAGATTAAGAAGTTTTAATGTAGTTTAAAGTTATTTTTGTAATGAATGCTAAGGAGATCCAATCTTCAGGTATATTATTGAAACTGTATTATGATAATTGTAGTGTGACATTGTGTTTATTGCATTATTTGAACCTGTTATTTGGTGTCATTGAATTGCAAGCTTTATACGAGCACGTGCAAGAACATTCTTTTATTTGTATATCATATTCACCAATGATATCCATATTATAAGATTAATCCAGTCTTGTCAGTGTGCAAACAGTTAATATAAGAGAAATGCAACTAGTTTCAGATTTGCTTAGATTAGGCTTAGGATTATTTAATTAGTCAAAATGTCAAGTCATTCATTATGTTGTGCTAATTCATACTAAGACTAAGATATTTGTTTTGTATATTTCCAGAATTTGTATAACTTGATGAGTTTTGAGTTATGCACAACTGTATGTTGTATTATTGATGATGATTAATAATATATTCAGTAAAATCTCCAAGAGTATTCCATTCTTCAATTCCGGGTCACTCCAGGTCTCCTGATAATGACAGTAGTGATAATACTTGTATGTTTTATCAAGAAATATGAGATAAAAATACCCGTATCTCCAAAAACACTCTAACTGACGTTAATGAAGATAATATTATAAAACTGAATTCATAAATTAAATAGAATTGTTTTTGTATTGTATGCCTTTATATTTATATTTCGAGTAAACTCATTGTGAGAATGAAAAGTCGAACAAAAGTATTTGTTCATGTTTGGAAAAGATTCACAGCATATCCTTACCAACGACAGGAAGGTGTCGCCAAGATAAATGGATTTAATATTAAGTTATTGCACTTTATGGAATCATAGTTAATATCTATTCTGCAACCCTATCTATAGGCCTAGATAGATGATTTTTATGGCTCGCCATTCGAGAGAGCGCCAAAGAGAAATCTATCATTTACAACGAACTTTTTATTTTTAAATGAATGCCAAAAAAGGAAAAAAATATTGCAAAACAATACCAATATCCAATAAGCTTACTTATCACTTCAATAAAGATAGCTTGCCAGGCAATGTAACATACGCCCACTGGCAACTGTCAGAAATAATAAAACAGTATTTAGTGACTAAAGTATGGTTTGTCTCATGTCAAAGAAATTTTAATAGTTTGAATTAAATGATATATATATTTACTGCCAGTTATTTATGCTGAGAAATTCCACCAAGTTTTTAAAAATCAATATCAATAACCGGAATACATCAAATTATCTTATCAATATACCAGACTGTAGTCTCTATTGTATTCACAAACAAATTTTGACGCGTGTTTCTTAAGTCAAGGGGAATAACTCAGAAACCATTCATCGAAAAATCATCAAATTTGAACTTGACCAAGATTTCATCAATATAAATGATCACAACAAATTTCATTAATATCAGTTGAAAACTGTAGTCTCTATAGTGTTCACAAAAAAATTTTGACACGTTTTTCCTAAGTCAAGGGCAATAACTCAAAAACCGTTCATCAAAAGATCGTCAAATTCAAACTTTTCCAAGATCTCATCAATATAAATGATCACACCAAATTTCATTAAAATCAGTTGAAAACTGTAGTCTCTATTGTGTTCACAAACAAATTTAGACGCGTTTTTCCTAAGTCAAGGGCAATAACTCAAAAACCGTTCATCAAAAGATCGTCAAATTCGAACTTGAACAAGATCTCATCAATATAAATGATCTCTAAATTTCATTAAGATCAGTTGAAAACTGTAGTCTCTATTGTGTTCACAAGAAATGTTGACGGACCGACGGACCAACGGACCGACGGACAGGGGCGACGACAATATACGTCCACATTTCTATGTGGGCGTATAAAAACTAATTCAAATTAAAGCGGACTTGAATCGTTATATATCTTAACCTGATTGAGATGACCTTAAGCGCCTATAAATATTATTAAAATCAGGAATCAACATTACTTCATATCGTCACTCAATTTGAATATACCCCCTTGTCCCACTGGTATCCTCCATTGTCTGCTGTCATCTACCACCATTTGCTGTCCTCCACAATCATCGGATGTCATCCCCTATAATTTACTGTCATCCTTCATAATTTACCGCCATCTGCTGTCATCCACCATTTTTCACTCTCTTATTCCATCATCTTTTGTCATTTTGTCATACATTAATGTAATTGTCATGCCACCATTTACTGTCATTTAATATCATAACTGTCATCTATCAACATCTACTGTCATCCCACGATCTACTGTCATCTACCAACTATACTGTCATCTACTGTCATCATATTCATTATACTGTCACCCCCTCCCCCATCATAATATACTTCATCCACCATCTTCTTCTGTCATCTGTCATCATATTCATTATACCGATCCCTTAATTATTTATTAACAGTGTTCTGATAAACTGTATTTCACAGTTAACTCCCTTCACCCATACCTGCATTATGCATTATAAATATTTTTGAAAGCAAAAGTTCATTAATTAATTAATGAATTAAATAATTATAGAAGAACGTATTTTCAAACGAGTTCTTGTATCAGTACCATTGTAATTATATTTGATATTTCTTTATTGATACTCTTATCACCGACTATATGAGTTTTTTATCTGGGGGTTAAGCACTTTAGGCCTATATATTGTGAACAATTTCTCGAAGATGCATTCTATTAGTATGAGGGCTGATTGAAATTTTTTTGTTTAACTGTGGATGACCCATACTATATCTACGGTTTTCATCCATTTCTCTAAATAGTCCCCTTCCAGCTTTATACACTTTTGCTAGCGATTCTCCAAGGCGCCTGGATGCCGGCCAAGAAAAAGGTTTGTTCAGCCACCCTTTAAAAAAAGTAAGCCAGTCGATAATGGCGATCGACTAGTTCCTTTTGCATTTTTGGAAACATGTCTGACATGGCCAATATGGCCGAATAAAGGGGACATAGCAACCAAAAATGTGTGAACAGGAAAATTGTTTTGGACCTCCCCGTCAATTAGCAACTAATGCAAAAAGGTGTCCAATTATCAATGCTATCCTATCGAGACAGTTGCTCAGATACTATCTCTTCATTATTTTAATAGTCTGATCTTTTTTTTTATCAAGGTAGTCCATCAATCGAATACCCTCTGAAACCATAAAAGACTGTAACCATAATCTTTCCAACAGAAGTAACTGATATGGACTTTTCGAGAGCGGGTGATTGCTGATGCTTCCATTGTTAGACTGAATTGTT